AGTAAGCCATGAAGCAATTTTGGACTGTCCTTTTTTTGAGAAAGTGGAAGGTGTCCCTGCCCATAGCAGGGGGTGAACTGGATGAACTTTCAGGTCCCTTCCAACCCCAATCATTCTGTGATTCTGTGATCAAGYACAGGCAATGTCTGGGAGTTGTTACCATTGCTTATCAGGCCATGAAAGGGATTTGGTGGAGGAAATCAACACCCAGGCTTATCACAAACTGTTCTCACTCATGGACACTGTTCACCACCCTCAGCAGTGAAACAGGCACAGATACTGAGATATTTCCTCAGCTACTGAGATATTTCCTCAGCTACTGAGATATTTCCTCAGTTACCAAGATATTTTCTCAGCTCATCTCTTACTGGAACAAAACCTGCACTGCAAAGGAAAATTTTGTAACTTTGTACTCAAACCCGATCCTGTCAGCTCACGCTTTGGGGACTTGTCTGCAGCAGTGTCAGAAAAATGTCACTGCCAGCATTTGTTGTCTTGACATCTCCAACTGCCTGAAACTGGGAAATGACTCTGTGAGCTCCACAGCTGGAAAGAGYGCATCAGAGAAGAAAGGAAACACTCCTAATGTGGAGAAGGGYATTTTCTCTTGAGAGTTATTAAACAAAGACATCAATGCAGACCCAGTCCCTCGAGGTACCAATTCTCCCTGAGGACCTTGCAGCATTGTGATCTGTTTAACTGAAATACTGAGAGCTCTGTATTATATTTTCACTGATATATTTTACAGGGAGAGTGACAGATAAATGCTGACTGYTCATGAAAGGGGTTAACTGAACTTTTGGAAGATGCTGGATCCATAGTGAATTGCCCATAAAGGCATTTTCATGTGGGAATGAGCCAAAGGAATCCCAACCATTACAGCAAGTGGGTCATTCCCAGAGGGAGAGGGGTCCTGGGATCAAAATGTTTCTCTCTCTGCTGCTGTCTGTCCCAGAGCTCCCTTCCAAAAGCCTTGACAGTGCCACTATTGCACAAAATGCAAAATCAAGGGAAAAAGATTCCAGCTTCTCCTGCTGTTTGTAGGTAAATTAAACCCAGAAAAGGCTGAGACAGCTGGAAATCTGACAGGAAAACTGGGTTTTCCAGGGAGAATGCTCGAGCCAATTTACAGTTAATTACTGTGATTTGGAACAGCTCTGTGAGTAAATACCAGCCTCTGATTGTCCAAGTAAGGAAGATAATAGTTTCCTGAACCGTGTCCATTGTCTACTTAAAATGCTTAAAATGTCAGCCCATTCATTTGTCAAAGTCCCGAAGAGTTTTGGTGTTCAGYGATGGGCAGCTAAAATCCCAAAGCTGAGCATCCTATTTGCCATGAACAACATTCATTGAGCTCCACCATATTCCATATTCCATATTTATCAGAGAATATTTGATTGAATGATTCCTAAAGCAGCCTCTCCCAARGATGAGGCTGCTGGACAATGAGGGATTTGATGAAATGTCCTTGGTGAAACAATTCTGAGGACAAAGAGGACTGGAGAGCCACTGGACACTGCCAGCCCTAAAATGTGCCAAGCACTGCTCAGGGCAGCAAGGGGCACAGAGAGGGATGGGCAGTGGGAGAGAGGGGGTGGCTGGTGGAAAACCCCACCAAATGTTATCTCTGCTTTGTGTTTTCTCTCCAGAGCAGCTGRAGGGAAAATGGTTTGTAGGGATTCATCCGACATTTGAAAAAACAGAAGCGTGGAATGGTTTCTGTTGGGAAAGCCCTCAAACATGATCGAGTCCAGATTAAAGTCCAATAATGACCATCCCCAGCACTGCCCCGTGTCCCCAAATCACATCCACAGGGCTGAGAAATCCCTGCAGGGATGGGGACTGCACCCCTGCCCTGGGCAGCTGGGACAGAGCTGGAGAACCCTTTCCATGGAGAAATTGTTCCCAAAAATCCAACCTAAACCCTCCCTGTCCCATCCTGAGGCCGTTCCCTCTCCTCCTGTCCCTGTTCCCTGGAGCAGAGCCCGACCCCCCCCGGCTGCCCCCTCCTGGGGCTCCAGACCCTTCCCCAACATTGATTCACTCACTGAAGATCCATCCAAACCTCAGGAGCTCAAATATTTGGAAATCTTGGCTCACCTGAGTCCGGAGCAGGTGCTGAGGCTGACGGAGGACTCGGGGTGYCCCTGCACGTGGCCGTGGTAATAACAGTGACCCTGTGGCAGGAAGAGAAAACATTTCAGAGGTCACAAATGCTCTTTGCTCATGGCTTTCCAACCCTTTTATTTCAGGRTGATTCTCAGTTTCAGGCTGCAGCRTTCACAATCAGACTCACAGMACCTYTCCTGTTCTGCCAGATACTCACTGTGCTTAACAGGTCAAGGGTTCCTAAACTGAAACAGTGGGTGCCTCTTAAACCCCGAAARGTTATAGGATTTTTGTTTGGCTTTGTGTTTGTTCTTTTTTTAAAGGATCAGAGGTGTTTAAYTTGTGTGACTGACCCCCTTTTTCTRTGTTATTTATTTAAAGCCACAATAAGGGATATAAAATAAATCAGATTAAAAAAATAATAAAATAATAAAAATAATACAATAAAATAAATCAGATCAATGAAAAAGCTGTCACATTTTACTGCTTTCTGTAGAAAAAAAGTCCTTATTTTTATTTAAGGGCATTTATATCTGTATTCCTATAGGAGGTAGCTATGCATACAGAGAGGTACAACAAAGCCAATCCCAATCCTATGGTTTGAAAAAAAAATCACAGAATAAATGAAGGGGAAGGGAAACAGGTTGGAAAGGAAACTTTTTATTGAATTACCCAACCAAGTAGCTGCATGTTATTAAAAACAACCAGGAATAAAGGGGGGTGYTCTATTTTGACAGACAACAGCCCAATTTCATTTTGTGGCTAGGTTATTATATTTCTTTAATAATCCAGAGCTTGCAAAAGGCCCCCACAACAGAGAGTTTCTGAGCACATCCACATCTCTGTCTGGGATCAGGGCTAATTTCATTGTTGACTAAAGGTTATATTGCATTCCCAATTAGGTGGCTGGCTGCAAAGCAAGGGCTGTGTCASGTCCAGCATTTTTTTTCTCTCGTGGTCCTTTGAATGCCACCTGGAAAATGAAAAATCTGCTGTGAAAGGCTCCTGTGTGATCAGTGCAAAGGGAAATGATCACTGGGGYTGCCACCTGACATTAATGTCCCTGTGCTTTTCCATGTCCTGACCCATTCACACCCAGCCTGCATTAATGAACATTTCCAGGCTGGGACAGGGTTTTCACTCACAAAACCTCACACTGCAGACTTCCAAAAACCACCTTGATTTTGGTGAAGCAGCAGTGGTGGAAATGCTGGCCGAGATGGAATGATTCAGATGGGAATTTTCTGYAAATAAGTTTATATCAGGAAAAGTTTGTTTGATTTCCAGCATGAGCAGAGCTCTGACTTTCTAAATCCAAACCTCAGTAGCTTTTCTCAGCGGAAGAAATGACAGAAACAGGGTGTGAGAGTGTTTTACTCTGGGTTTTTTTTTTTTTTTTTATCACCAATCCTCCTAAGGAGTCAGTAACACATTAGCAAAGATAAAGCCACAGCAGAGGGAAGGGAGTCATCGATTGAATTTTTTGGGGGGTGATTGCTTCAGTCACAATCTCTGTGGATGTCAGAGTTTTCAGTTTTGGGTGCACTCCAATTTCAGTGTTATCATTTACAGGAATCCAGGTGATAGGACAGACAAAAAAAATCAGTGTCCCCCCACTCAAGRGGGGACTCCCTGAGTCTCTCATATGCTAAAACCAAATATAAACCAGATTTATTCTCATTGCTTAAAGTGAGCACGAGGTGCAGATCAGAGCTCCTGAGAGAGGAACCTTTGTGTGTGAAAGGAATGAGAAGGGAGTGTCTTTACAAACTCTGAGTCTGGGGTGAGATAAGGCTATACTGGGATGTAGAAGGAAATAATGGGAAGGATTTCCATAGGAATTCTTTGATTGACTTAGCCCAGACTGTGTTAATGGACCACAAGAGCAGAGACACAGAGATGGATATTGAAAGGGGGCAATGGATGATAGAAGGGGGGTTTCATCAGGTGTTTTTGGGGAGCCTGTACCCCTAAAGTACCTCAGAAATCGGGAAAGAGAGAGGGAATGGCCAGGAAATTGGGATAAAAGCAGCTGCGTCCTCTGTGAATTTGAGAGACCCCATGGGAAATGCCCATGGCCTCTCCCTTTATTCACGAATAAAGTTGCAGGACTCCTCTGTCTCCTTTTTGGACATAAACCTCTGGTGTTTGTGGATTATTTTTCCTGACAGGTGTGAGCATCCCCAGAGCTGAGCCCAGTCCCAGTGAAATGAGGAGGGGAGCCCACACCTCTCCCCACATTGATGCTGCTGCCAGGCTCCAGCTGTCTTTATCTAACAGTGAATTATGGCAAACGGCCCCATTTCTTTCCCTCTCCACGTACAACTTGTCATTTTATTAACTCTGAGCTCCTGGCTGTGGCCCATTTCACAATCTCTCTGAGATCCAGCTCTGTGATGCCAAAGTTCAATATCGAAAATGTAAACTTATCAGACCATGGCCTGCAATGGGACCGGGAGAAAATTGATTTCTAGCTCAGTAACTCCACTCAATTGCAGGATTTTTTTTTTTTTTTTCTGCTATCAAATCTTTTTATTCCTGCAAACTGRTATAAAAAATGGATGACCCCTTAAAAACAAATAATTACCAAGGCTGATCCATCATACTTAAAACAGTTCTCTACTCTTGCTTGAGATCATTTAATAAATAGCAGCTTTTGACAATTTTTCAAGTGCTTTAAATGGAAAAATAATCTAGATGCTGCCTTGTGGGCTGGAGAACTCCCCAAATGACAGCTCCACAAACCTGCCTTGCTCTGTCCTCCRAGCAGAATTTGACTAAGCAACTTTYCAATGGAAAATCGGATTTGGTTTCAACTCCAGACTGTATTGATATCCTCAGTGAAGAAGAGATACAAAAATAAAATCAGAGACTTATCTCTTCTCAGCCATAATACAGCATTTAATGAAAAATGAATTCACTCATCTCTCTCAAAAAAAAAAAAAAAAAA